ACTAAGCAATCTAAGTGAAATGGTTAATCTAAGTGAAATTACGAGTAAATCAAGTTAAATATGAAAAATCTTAAACTTACCTCGTTGCATAGAGTATGAATCTCATTCTGCAACGATGCTACCATCTCACGTAGAGCCGCTACCTCACCACGTAAAGTAGATACCTCGTCACGCCATGCATCATTGTCATCAAATAAAGTACCGAACTCCTCACGCAAGGCATTGACCTCATCACGTAACTCCCCTAACTCATCCCGTGGAGGTGGAGAACAGGGAGATAAATGTCGTGGCATCTTTGTCGGTCGCCTATCATGAGGTGATGGTGAAGAAGAGGCTCGATGATGTGACGGAATAGGTGATGGCTCTCGTTGTAGAGGTATATAGTGTGGTCAATCAGGTGATGGCTCTGGGTGAGGTGATGGCTCTCGAAGTGGAGGCTGCTCATCATCCGTGCCATCAAAAAAATGCTTACTAGCTTGCCACCAAACAGTGGCAAGCTCAGCCTCCGTGGGTGTCAGCCTCTGTAATGGAGTGTTGGCCTCCTAACAATATAAAAGCTCAAACAAAGTTAAACGTGTACTAGTAATAACTTGTTTATATATGGTAGTATTTCTGTTAACTTACATCATTTATTGTCGTATACCGTAATAACTCTTTCCAAATCAACATCCGTCGTTTCCTCTTCCAGGAAATAACTCTAGGAATATCATTTGAAGTTTTTAATGCATATGTCTGCATGTCGGGAAAAGCCTGAAATATCCAAATCTACAAAAACAATATAATACACAAACATTAGTAATTGTTAAATAATTAATTATAATTTTGGAAACATTATATAGAAATTCTTACCTTAAAGGCCCAAATAAAGTCTGACAAAGTGTATTTGGAACCATCGCCACGCAAACTTTTGCGGTCATCAAAGGCAGACGACAACTTATTCCAGGTAGCTTTCCATAGATACGAACCCTACGAAAACAGGTTCCATGCATTTAGGTCCTCTACTAATAATATTAGGTCCTTAGGAATAGGTTGTCTGGCCTCTCTGCCTAAAAAACCGGCATGCAAAAGTACTAAAAGGCATACTCAGACAACATCGACGTCATCCATCCGAGTAAAACCATCTTTCTTATTCAATAATCTCGTCAAGTCGTCGACCTGTAAATTCGGCTTCTTCATGAAAGCTCAGGAAAAACCCGGGATAACCATGATGGGCGGGTAATATGACTAGTGTATCGACCTACATCATCGTGTCCGAAGCGTAGACCAGTGATTAAGGAAAAACTCTTCCCGCCCAAAACACGTATACACCGGTGGAAAATGAAACCATATCTCTTCATTATCACGTTTTATACTCTCGGGTAGATATCTAGTCATGGTCTGAAGCCACAAATGGGTCAACATAGAATCTCCACCCGGATGTTGTACTTTCAGCCATGGCCCGAAGCAAGTATCCTCAAACAATTTTCTTTGTACAGGTGAAAGCTTCGACGCAATTGTAGTGACTAGGCTTATTTTATTCCTTAAGGTCAATTGAGCCGAAAAAAAGTTCTACAAAAACAATAAACATACCAAGTTAGATTAAAAACTACACTGTGAAGATATACCAAAAACAATAATAAACATAAAGAGTAGTAATAGTTTATTCTTCAAACTTAAATTTGCAACACTGTGAATTTCGTATTTGTCTTTGTTTTTTGGTTGAAGTAATGCAATTCATTCAAGTTTCAATTTGCAGAAGAATAATAGTTTCTGAAACTTAAAATCGCAACACGAAAATGAAAATCGCAACACGAAAATGACTATCGCAATGTGAATTTGACTATCGCAACGAGATAATCGCAATGCGAAATGAAAATCGCAACACGAAAATGACTATCGCAACGCGAATTTGACTATCGTTGCGATTTTCATTTCGCGTTGCGATCCTCGGTTTCAAATAGTCATTGTCTAAAATTGAAACTTGAATGAATTGCATTACTTCAACCAAAACACAAAACAAAAACAAATACTAACTTTACAGGGTTAAAGACTAAAGAGTTTAGCAGTATTGGCAGCAATCAAATGAATTTAATAAGCAATCTAAGTGAAATGGTTAATCTATTATTGAAATTACCAGTAAACTTATCATCAATTTCAATATGAAAAAACTAATAATAATGCAAAAATTTCAAAATAAAAATAATTAAAAAAACTAACACTCTATGGTTGATTTGGTTGATTTTCCATTTCTGATCGTGAATGATTGTGAGGGTAGCTCTGAGAGATGGAGATAGACGGATTTCGCCAGAGATGGGGACGGATTTCGTCGGAGATGGGGACGGATGTCGCCGTAGAGAGTGAGAATGGAGATGAGACTGAGTTGTGATTTAGGGTTTTAGGTTAAGAGTTGCGATTACGGGGTGTATTAATATTCATGTTTGAAATTTGAAAAAATAAAATACGCGTTGCGATACTAATGGCGCTTTGAAAATCGTATTGTGATTTTGTATTATTGCGTTGCGATAGTCAGAATCGCGTTGCGATTATGTATTATTGCGTTGCAATAGTCAGAATCGCGTTGCGATTATGTATTATCGCGTTGCGAATCTGGAAACTGATTTGCAATACTGGAGATCACGTTGCGATTTAGAGATCGCATTGCGATTTTGTTGGTCATTTTGGCAAATCGAAAAAAAGTTGGTCAAAATCGTATATTATAAGGAATTTTCGGTCACTGAGGTTATTTTCTCTAATTTATAAGTGTGTAAGTTTTTATTTTTATTTTTAGAGATGTAAATTCATGAACCAGCATAATAAATATAAATATTTGAAATAAAATAATAAATAAAAATTGAATTAATTTTTTAAAATTAACTTCAATTGAAATTAAATTAAAAATTAAATAATTGATAATTTAATTGAAGTTCTCAACTCAGAATAATATGAACAACCAAACAGATAAATACAAGAATATTTTCGTAAATTGAAATCAGAAATGATAAGAAAATTGGATTTTTACTCGTTTAAAATAGAATAATAATAAAAAATAATGTTAACTCTTTCTAATAAATTATAATGTTTAATTAATTTTTAAAATTTAAAATTATATATATAAAAATAATATTATTTTAATATTTTTCATATAAATATATAATATATATTATTTTTTAATAATTTTTGGAGGCCATGGCCCCCTCTGGTCCCTTAATCGTTCCGCCGTTGCACACTCTCTTCCTATCTATTTATTTGTAAGTTAAAGAAAATGGTGAAATTATACCACTGATTCTTAATTTCCTTAGACTATTAAATTTAAATTCCAAAATTTGTCCTATATTCAGTTTAGTTTATATCTTCATCAATATTTAAAATGTAAAATATTTTTTAAAAAATAGAACAGAGTAAACGAGCTTATACGAAGGGTTGACAAATAATTCATCAATTGCTCTATTCATTTACACTCTTATAAATTCGTGATAAAATTTTAAGGGTAAATTACACCGTTCTTCGTTGAACTTTAATCTCTCTCCTATTTTCCTCACCCAACTTTCAATTTGATCAATTTGCTCACTGAACTTTACAGATTGAATCATTTTGCTCACTCTGTCGTTAACTATTTAACGACATTATGATGTGACATAAGCATCAAAGCGACGTCGTTTTGAAAAACTCAAATATGGTTCGGTGAGTAAATAGGGGAAAGAGAGTAAAGTTCAGTGACTCATGGTGTAATTTACATCTCAACCCTATGAGTCTGAATCTAGTGGTTGTTTCACCGGAAAATGTCTCAAAATCCGTGAATGTGGACTAAAACTTTCAGTTTCCTCACTTTCAATCTCAAATTCGTGGACTTCGAAGTAAGTTATAATAAAAATAGAGGTCAGATTCGGACTCAATGTGTCGAGATGAAGCAACCCATCCCATTTTAGGACCAAACGACCACCATCTGCGGTGGTATACGGTGGGCGGTAGTAGGAATGGCAACGGGGCGGGTTCGGGGTGGGTTTTGCTCGCTCCGTCCCCGAACCCAAAATGAATCCCCATCCCCGACTCGATCCCCGTCGAGTTTTTTTATTGGGGCGCCCCATCGGAGATTTTTTTTGCCCCGTCCCCGAACCTGACCCGAAATATTATACTCAAACTCAAACCCGAAAATATTATATATATAATTAATATAAAATATTATATATATAATTAATATAAAAAAATATATAAAATATTATTTATATATATAATTGGGTCGGGACGGGGATACCTTGTCCCATCCCCGAACCCGACCCAAAAAAATATCCGATACCGACCCGACCCGATATCATTCAAACCCGATCCAACCCGAACTTGACCGGGTTTTGGGTTTCCCCGTCAGGTTCGGGTCATTCTACCATCCCTAGGCGGTAGTGGAATCCGGCCACCTTATGTTTTTATTTTATTTTTTAAAATTATTTTATATTAAATAAAAAAAAACACCATGTCATCAGCCGTTAGAAAAAAAACGGTCGAGTGAACAAAATGATTCAATTGTAAAGTTCAGTGAGCAAATTGATCGAATTGAAAGTTATGTGAGGAAAATAGGAGAGAGAATATATTTCAGTGAGGAAAATAGGGTCGAGTATGTTTAAGTATTCGATGTAAAGTTTAGATAGTGTAAATAATGTTTCAATACGTATAATATCATTAAATTTAACTGTTAATTTATTAACATATCATAAAAAGTCATAATTTTTTTAAAAAAATTAATTATACGAATGTGAATATAAAGTTGCGAAAAAGAAGAAAGTGAAAGAAGTACAAAAAGGTTTTTGTGATGTAACGAAATTTGTTTGATCAAAATTATATCACGTGTTTGAATAGAAACAAATCCCACGTATTGAGAAAACTAAAAACTCTCAACGACTAATGAAAAAGGGAAAATCGTAGACTAAGCCCATTTTGCCATGAGAGGCATAAATCCAGCACCTAGTAAAACACCAACATACGACCAAGCTTGAAGCTTCATGTTGGTTTGAAGCTTAGGGCCAAGAAAATCAGCCGCTAGCAGATCTACCAGAGCCATGTAATTCAATAAACCCTGTCGAGCAAGCATTAAGTAGTCCCACCACAGTCGGGCTCGTATCACTGTAAACCCTGGACAATCCAATTCCTAGTGCGATTCCAAGTGGAGTTATCGATGAAAAGAAAACCACCATTATTTCTTTCATTTTCAACTTATACTCGACCTGAAAGATCATTCAACACAGTAATGTTCATCAAAGGCATACAGAGTAGAAGATTATGAAAATTAATGGTGTTTTGAAAGAGAATCACCTGTAATATGCATCCCCCAAGTCCCATTCCCTCAAACATTTGATGGAAGCAAAGAACAGCGATGAGTGAATCGAATGGTGCACGGATTTTCGGAGGCTCCCATTGCAAGCCCGATCACCACCGAATGAACTATAATCCCCATCTCTAATACCTGAGCAACAACTCGATGCCTTAACAATTGTTGTGATGCGTCATTCGTTTCTACGAGCGCATGATGCTTTTTATACAAGCTCAAGGCAATTGAATCGATCATAATCGTTACCATCTTATACCGTTGAATTTGTAGCACAGGAACTCTCTCTATGCAGAGCCAGCTATTAGGGAGAGCGCCCTGAGCGATAGCTCAGGGTCCCCATTTTTTCATCTTTGTAATTATAGTCTCCATTTTTTCATCTTAATAATTAGGTCCCTAATTTTTTAAATCTTATTTTTTATCTTTATAATTGAGGTTCTAATTTTATTCAATCTCATCTTTTATCTTTATAATTGGCGTCTCTAATTTTTTTTCAATTTCTTTTTTACCTTTATAATTGAGGCCCATAATTTTTTAATCTCACTTTTTAACTTTATAATTGAGGCCCTTAAGTTTTTCAATCTTATTTTCGACCTTTATATTTGAGGCCTCTAATTTTTTAATCTCACTTTTAAACTTTTTAATTAAGATCCTTAAATTTTTTCAATCTCACTTTCTACCTTTTCTACCTTCACAATTGAGGCCCCTATATTTTTTCAATCTCAATTTCTACTTTTATAATTGAAACCCCTAATTTTTTAATCTCACTTTTTTAACTTTATTATTAAGGCGCTTAAATTTTTTCAATCTCACTTTCTACCTTTATAATTAAAACCCCTAAGTTTTTCAATATCAATTTCTACCTTTATAATTGATGCCCCAAGTTTTTTCAATCTCGATTATACCTTTATAATTAAAAAAACCTAATTTTTTTTCAATCTCAATTTCTACATTTATAATTAAGGGTTCTGAGTTTTTTCAATTTCATAAAATTCTTAACTTCTCATCTATTTCTCCATTACTTCATTTAATTTTAAATTAAATCTAACTCTGGCAATGAGATTCACCCACCTTACAATTGAACTGCACAAGCTGATACATTGTTGGATTTCTTTTTTGAAGAGATTGAGAGTAGTCAGTCTGGGGGCTATTCAACCAATCTCTAACCTGGCAGCAATCTGTTTCAATTATCGAATTATAACTGCGACCCACTTGGAAGCTCGGCATAGGGAACAAGCTTCTTTGATAGGCATTCTTTCAGCACTAGTTGGGTCCATTGAAATCATAGATTCGGAGAATCGGATGAGAACGTTTCACATATTGTTCCAAATTGAACTTATTAAATATAAATTGCAGCAGCATTGATGGGAAGCAAAATTATCATCTTGGTTTCAACAGATATGATATATACATCAACAGGGATTTGTATCCCTGACCAACAAAATTGCCCTGCCAGAGTAATCAATCCCTAATCAGAAGAAATAAGAATATTGATTTAATTAGGCGATTGATTGAATCACACTTCCAATTCATTGTATCTTCTACTTCTTGTTCCATCAGGGGACGCGATTTCTTCCACAGCCTTCCTCTTGTTAATATTCGGCTTACATCTTGATTTCATCAGATGAGGCCTGAGCTTGTTCACATCTGATAATTGAACCGGCTTCAAAAAGAACTCCTCGGCTCCATCTTCCAGGCACCTGTTGATTCTCGATGGGATATTGTCAGAGGACATGATCACAACTGGTATGTCTTTCAAAGAAGAAGAGCACTTGATTTTTCTCAACAGATCGTAGCCAGTCATTCCCGGCATACAATAATCCGTGATGATCAAACTGACTTCCACGTGAACAGATGCATCGGCGTTTGAATTTCTGTTCTTGTTATTCAATCCAAGAAACTCCAATGCCCTGGTTCCAGAATCCACTGCGGTAACTGTAAACACAATCATATGTAAGGAAAATGAATCCATGTTCTAGAAGAAAAACAAAAACCCTGTTTGGATGAAGAGAAAAAGATGTTTACCTTGATAAGAAGAAGTCTTGAGAAGCTTCTCGATGAGTTTTCTATCGATGAGGGTATCATCAACGGCGAGAACATGGAATTTAGCATCCGCAGCCATGGCCATTGTTGGTGAAGATATGTGATTTCAACGAAGCAGAGAATAAGAAGAAGATTGGAATATTGGGTTTGGAGAGAAAGTGAAGGGAGATGAGCTTTAAAAGGGTCGGCCATGGAGAAAAAAAGATGCAAATCCCATGGAAAATCAGACAGTTTGGAGAAAAGCAAGATCCGGCAGATTTCATATCATATAAAATCTTCCAGATTTTCTTCCTTGATTTTCTTATTGGAAAACATGAAAAGATGGTGCTGTCTTCCTTCCTTCCTTTCTTTTTTTAATATTTGTATAATTTTAGTCTGATTCTAAAATCCAAGCACTCTATTTTAATTTATCATAACTTAGTCCTCGTATTGTATAAAATTTGAAAAATTTATCCTATCATTCGTAAACTCATCAACCCAAATAGATGAATGTTGTTAATTTGTTGAATGTAAGTTTCTGAAAATTTGATTTTTGCTAATGCCTCGCATATAATTTGCTTGATCACTATTTCTTAACTTTTGTAAAATAGAATGATCAAATTTTGACATGTCAAATCAAAAGAGTTATTTTTTCATATTGTTTATAGTAAAAGTACTAAATGCATAATTATACATAAATTTTCTTTCAATCGTATAATAATATTCTCTTTTGGCACTACGATGTTGTATCCAGGCAATTTCGAACTGTAGAAGAGAACCAATATGGCCACAAATATTGACCTTTTAGGTTGATGAAAGGTTCCATCATCCATCCACGTGGAAAATCAACTTTAATCAGCTCAAATATATTAAAACTGTTTTTTTTTCAATTTATTTTAATTTTAATTGTAGGATAATAAAAAGATATGCCGTACATGACTTTCCTTCACAGATCACGATCATATATACTTCGTAGTTCGTGGAAGCTACATGTGCTGATTCCAACATTAAGATATCAAATATATTTTTTAAAGATACGAAGATTCAAACATAAGATATCAAATAGTATTTTAAAGATAAACTTAAGGTTAATTTAGGTAAAAAGGCATACCAAGCTTCTGTATTACAAAAATTAATATGTAATTTATATTATTTATTTTTCAATGTGATCTTTTAATTCAAAAAATAAATTTAATATAGTCAAATGATCAAAGTTTTTCGTTATTGACCGTTACAGTATTGACGTGGTAATTTACAATCTTGATGCGGTAGCAATGATACAAATGTGGTAGCCTACTGTAACTGATGAGATGATAGATGAATTAAATTAATTTTTTTTATTTTGTTACAAGGACCAATTTTATAGTATATTTATTATTGTATTATAGTATCATATTTTATGTTATATATTATATATATTTATTATATTATAAATTATATATTTTTTTATTTTTTTTATTTTAGGTCTAAGAACTCAAGGTCCAAATCCAAGTCCAATTGGAATCCAATCCAATAAGGTTATGAGGGAGCCCAGCGGGTAGAAACCCAAGTTTACCTGACCCATCGAATTAGGGTTTCGTATTTAATTAGTTGCTCTGCGTGTTCGTAACAGCAATATCAAGCATCGATAAATGACTCAGATTGCATAACAGTTAGGGTTTTAAAACCCTAGAAGTCTCCCCAATGCACAGCTGCACAAGACTCGTTGGATCTGACAACTTGATCCAACAGCCATAATTCATTAGGAATAACCGATAATAACTCATGAGAATCACACGCCATTGAAAAGAACAACACAAGCCACTACGCGCTAAATTGAAGCATTCCAAACTGAAAAATCGAAATAAAATCGAGATTTCCCGTCATTTTCGGTCAGCACGAACAATAACAAACCCGAACAAATCAGAGATGGGGAAACAACCCCATTATTCTCGGAAAAAGTCGTCGTCAAATGCCTATATAAGCCCCTGCAAGTTGAACAAGAAACACAGAAAAAAGCATCAAGCAACAAATATACGAACAACCAAGCAAGAGCAAAAAAAAACAAAAAACAAAAAGCTTAAAGCTTTGTTTTGTCGAAGGTTGCCGGAACGCATAAAAGCTCCGTCGGGAAAGGAAAAGTCACTGGAAGTTGAAGAAAGTCGTCGAACTAAAGGTAAACCTAAGACTTTGTTTTTAGATCTACGTCGGTGAGGTTGTTTTTAGGGCGATTGGACCTTGGTTTTGGGTTCGAGTCATTGAGAGGAAGCTTTGGGTTAGGCTTTTAGGTTTCCGGCCATCGGAGGCGGCAGTGTCTCGTCTGGGGGAGCTGGTTTTCAGCCGACTAAGAGAGTTGAGAGCATTTTTTAGAGAAATGAGATGAGGTTTTGGAGAAATGATGGAAATGAGGAATTTTTTGTGATTTTAGTGTTATTTATAGATGGGACCCCAATGCAATTAGCAAATAGTTATATTATTTCCGCAGTCCCTATATTTTTTATGCATAATTCATTTTGGTCACTTGTTGTAATTTTTCCCTTGAATTTTGAATCATTCCAATTTAATCCCTATTTATATTTTTCTATATTTTGCAATTAGGTCCCCTAACCATTTTATTTCTTCTTGTAGTTTCCATCTAGCATCAATTTAATCCCTAAATTTCATTTTTTTATAATTTAATCCTCTTTAATATTTGTGTTTTTAAATTTAATACTTTGATCTTTTATTTTGTTTCATTTTTATTGTTTAACGTTAATTTTACTTTTTCAGGCAATTTTAAATTGGTTAAATGTAAGTAATCCGAATCGAATATTTAAATTTTAATTTCAACTTCAATTTTCGCAATTAAGACGATCGAGAAATCAAATACCGAAAGGGCAGTGCAAGGGTGCTAATCCTTCCTTAACTGTAATCGAGTCCCGAATCTGATTAATTTCTGGTAAATCGTAGATCAGATAAATGATAGGCTAAGGTATCCGATCAACCTAATTTAAAATGATCGGTGGCGGCTTCATCACATTAATTCAAGTCAAAACCTGATTCTGGGACCACCCGAAGGATGATTATGACAAATATATTTAATATTTTTTAAAACACATACATATATTTGTGAATGATATTTATTTTATAATGAAGCAATTATGGTTTTCAAATAATATATATTCTTTAAACGAAATTAATTTTATTTTTAAAATTAATTACAGATATTTATATTATTAAAATAATTTAAATACTCAGATTGAAAAACTAATAATTTTCAAAGACATATATTTATCATTACAAATAAAATTAAGATATATTTTAAATTTAAATATATTAAATTAATTGACACCAAATTAAAAAATATATTTATGAAAAGAATGAAAATTATTTTTTATAATTTTAATTTATAAAATTATCAAATGATTATAGGTAATATGATAAATATTATAAAATATTTTCTATTATGTAAACTTAATTTTAAGTGATGATTATCAAATGACCAACAAAATCGCATTGCGATCTCTATTGCGATCTCCACTATCGCAAATTCGCGTTGCGATAGTTGAAAATCGCATTGCGATTTTCCATTTCGCGTTGCGATTTTCCAAATTCGTTGTGATAGCTAAAAAAAATTTTTGTTTCTTAAGAATTTTCTCTAAAAAGATAGTATCCGCGCGGACGTGTCGAAGACACGTATTACCACTACCACTACCACGACCACGACCACGACCACGACCACGACCACCACGACCACGACCACGACCACGACCACGACCACGACCACGACCACGACCACGACCACGACCACGACCACACGACGAGACGGACGGACGCGACGGCGGCGTCGGCGCGCGGAGTCCCCCTTGTTCTCTATCACTCTACAAGGAAGTGGGAAAGCCAAGCCTTAAATACCCGACCACGACCACGACCACGACCACGACCACGACCACGACCACGACCACGACCACGAGACGGGACGGACGGCGACGGCGGCGGCGGCGCGCGAGAGTCCCCCTTGTTCTCTATCACTCTACAAGGAAGTGGGAAAGCCAAGCCTTAAATACCATTCCCAATAGTGTTTCCAATACTATGTGGGATTTGAGCATTACCAACACTTGTTCCCAATACTAGTGATTGAGCCTTAATAGTGATATTATTTTTGAATTTTGCTTAAAATTGCAATAATCGCGATTGATTGTAGATTGACTTTAATTATGACATATTTAATCATATAATACTAATGCAATTGGTTGTTGATTCAGTTGTTTTAAGGTGCATGATTGTTAATTGTTTCCTGAATAATCACATTGTATTGGAAACAAGTGTTGGTAATGCTCAATCTCACATTGTATTGTAAATACTATTGGAAATGATATTTAAGACTTGACTTTTCCATTTTCTTGTTGAGTGACAGAGAATAAAGAGACTCTCGCGCATCGCCGCCGCCGCCGCCGTCCGTCTCGTCTCATATTAGGTCGTGGTGGAGTAAATTTCCATGTTGACTGAAATGTTATCGACAAATCGACATTCAGGGGAGAAAGCGACAATGGCGTTACCTTGTTCTTTTCTCTTTGAATCCGCGGGGTTCTAACCGTACCGTTCATAAATGGCGGTTTGAATTTGAACTTTGAAGACTTCATTCTTATTACAGAACAGTTGAGCAAAGATTTAGCCGTTTTCATTACTGTGCTTAGAATCTCCGACACAGTTTTTATATTGAATAAAAAAGAAAGAAAATCCACCAAAAAAAAATCAGAGCGCGTGACCCACTGACAAAAATACCAGTAACTGAGAAGGCAATTAAAGAATCATCAGCTATCGGGAAGTGGAAAGATTACTCTCACAAAAGAGTAATACTAATAATAATAATTTCAAAGAGTCCATATTCATCATCGCCCTCAAATTTTCACCAGGTGAGTTCTCTGGTCCTAAAGTTCAAACTTTGCTGTTTTAAAGTTATCATTTTCAATTAATTTTATGGAAGTTGTTTGATTTTCTTTGCTTTAGTTTTGGAAAATGAGAAAGTGGTAGGTACCATAGTTGAAAATTCTGATGTATTTTCTTGTGAGCTTGTAAGTTGAAGGATTATTTTTGGTTTCTGGGTATGGAAGTGTTTGTGTTGAAGTTGTGTGGTTTTTGTTTGGTAAGTCAATTTGGACTGTAAGTTGAAGAAAGTGCTTCTTTTTTCACTGGAAATTCACACTTCACAGTTTCAGTTTTCCATCAACTAATGATTGACTTCCTTCCATTCCTCATCATTTAAAATTATTAGTGTAGCAATATGATTTTGTGTTCCCTGTTCTCTATTGCCTTTATCTTCTTGGTGTCATATAATATATCCATTTGTTGTTCTTACAAGTTTAATTAG